GAATTTTGTGCACTGGGCCTCTAGTATTTAATAAGACAGTGAAAGGGCTTACTTGCTGCTACCTAAGAGATGTAGGAGAGCAGCATCTTTATTCCAAGCTTGTCTCAGGACCTCTGTGAGGCAGAGTTAATAGAGAAACAGCTTTAACTTCTACTCCTTTGGTTCTCACCCCTCCCGTATGCCCAGAGGGTCTAGCACAGTGGTTCCCAACCTTTTTTTGGTGACGCCCCACTTAAGCATCTCTAAAATCCTGATGCTCCCCCACCCATGACATATAATTCTTATTTAAAAAGTGAACTCCTATTCATGTGGAGAAAGCCTAAAAGGCCCCTACCTTGCTCTAAACAAGCTTCCAAAGAACATGGTATCCATGAAAGAGAAACATAAAAGAACGAAAGGACAGTTGAAGTACTGAGGAAGAAATCACTAAGAAATTGTTAAAATAATAATAATAATAATATGAAATGATATGAAAAAATAGCAAATAAAGTTTCAAAACATAGAGAACTTAAATGCATAAATATATCACAATATATATTTATATACTGCATATGAGGCCCCTAAAACCATAAGAATGATAAGAAATGCAAAAATGCACTGTTAATAACTCATTCTTGAATTGCCCCCCTTAAAAAACAAATTGCCCCCCTGTGAGGCATGTGCCCCATGTTGGGAACCACTGTTCTAGCATAAGGAGGCCATTCAATGAAGGTATTAATAGCATTAAAGGACATACACAAACTACCATCCACAGATGGGCAGGACTGCTGCTCAAAGCATACACTTCTTGCTTGTGGACACAAAGAAGAAACTTGGAACCTCTCCTCACCATGGACTGACTTCCCTGGAAGGGCCCTAAGAGTTTCTGGGGTCCAGTCCCCTTAGCAAAGCTCAGAAAGGGGAATGCTGTCCCTAAGGCTTCACAGGGAGTTAGAGGCAGAACAGTGTTCAACTCTGGTCCCTAGCTGCTGGTCAGGTGCTTCCCTCTGCAGCATTGTAGTTGACCTTGAAGTAGAGCAGGCAGCTCACTGCGACCTGAGAACTGTTAGAGTGAGTTGGAAAGGCCTTCGGTGAGCCCCCACACTGTTCTCAGCACAGGCCATGGGCTTGGCAGCATTCTGGGTCTGAGCTTGGCATGGACCTGAGGGCCAGTACCAGTCTCAGGATCCATTATTTTGTCTGTGGTGGCTCCGTTGGACTTTTTGCCATAACATAATGAACTGTTCTGTTCCCTGAAGGAATACCACATCTCTGCTTTCTACTCCAGCAAGAGATTGTCTTCTCATATTGCATCATTCTCCCCTTTCTTGTAGCAGAGAGCAGGCGCCGAGGACACAGGACCAGAAGGAGGAGTCTGGGCTGGGAGCTGGGGGCTCTGGTCAGGGGGAGGCAGCTGGTGCAGGTGGTACACAGGGAGGTGGTAGCAAAGGGTGAGAGATGGTGAGTGAAGGCTGGAGAGGAGCCCCCAGAGTCTAAATTCCCCATTCGTTAGGGATTAAGGACCCAGAAATCCAAGGGGGCTGGACGAGCTCGGAAGCAGGAGGAGCATGTGGTCGAGGTCTCGGGGAAGAAGCCTGAGCTTTGCAGGGGGGACAGCAGAGGTGACACTTTCCACATAAATGACCCAGAGGATGAAGGACTGAGAAGAATGAAGCTGAGGCTGCCGGTCCACTTGTTAGAACGGCTGACTGTAAGGGAGCTTCATAGTCATTCAGGACCCTTCAGCTCAGCGAGCCCACAGGTCTGAGAAACCTGTTTCTGATGAGCTCAGGAAATAATGCAAGAAATTGCTCGATTTGAAAACATTCTCGATGGCTTTTTCTTTCAAGGAGTGGTGTAGAAGCCTTCCTAAACCAAGAGTGTGTGGGGATGGGGGTTATGTGTGGCCATGAGACCAGTGTCTCCTCTGCATGTTGCTTCAGTTGATCAGTGATCAAGAAGCCACAGTCCCTTGCGTTCCAGCAACATTTGTCTGATAGTTTCCTACATAATAGGGATCATGTTGACACCAGGCTGGGGCTGTCCCTGGCCAAGGGCACCCAAGGGAGGGGCTCTAGCGCTGCCCCTCCCCCTTACTGCCACCGTACCTCATGCTCGGCCTCCACCTGTCTGTTTGCAGGCTTGCAGAGATTCTGCGAAGACATAGAGATGATGATCGGATTCCAGCCAAACATTTTCTGGAAAGTCTGCTGGGCATTTGTGACTCCAACCATTTTAACTGTAAGGACCGCATGCTGTATTGTGCAGATGGGACCTCGTATGTGGTGCTTTGTGCATAAACAAGGACTAGGCCTACATAAGAGCCTGGGGAGCTGGTAGGATGGGTATTAATGGTCTTGCCTTTCAGATGTGGAAAAGAGGTGAAGCAACTTGCTTAAAGGTGCTTAGCCAGTTGGGTGCAGAGCTGGACTCATGCACAGTTTGGGGCATCCTTATGGAGTGTTTCCCACGGTAGCAGTCTGCCTCGTGCACTAACAGTCACAGTCCCCACAGCTAAGGTCCAGGCTCTGTTCAAGGGGCTTTGTGTGTTTCGCATGCTGTATTGTGCAGATGGGACCTCGTATGTGGTGCTTTGTGCATAAACAAGGACTAGGCCTACATAAGAGCCTGGGGAGCTGGTAGGATGGGTATTAATGGTCTTGCCTTTCAGATGTGGAAAAGAGGTGAAGCAACTTGCTTAAAGGTGCTTAGCCAGTTGGGTGCAGAGCTGGACTCATGCACAGTTTGGGGCATCCTTATGGAGTGTTTCCCACAGTAGCAGTCTGCCTCGTGCACCAACAGTCACAGTCCCCACTGCTAACTAAGGTCCAGGCTCTGTTCAAGGGGCTTTGTGTGTTTCACCTCAGCTCT